AGAGAGAGAGAGAGAGAGAGAGAGAGAGAGAGAATCTCTAACAAATCCCCACAGCTTCCAACCAGAACATGAAGTTAACTTAAATGCATATTCCTAATGACTGTGATAATAATGTTTTAACCATGCAGGCTTTGTGAAGTCACATTTTCTGGAACTTTCTTTGTTTTAGTTAAACTGTGAGTCTACTTCCATTAATTAATTTAGGCCAAATGTATTTAAAAGCCTTTTTTGAACAAGTTATGTCATTTTTGTGAGACTTCTAAACTGATAACCTTTTGAAACAAGTAATGGTTTAAAACTTTCCTCTCTGCAGTTTGTTTTTGTGTAACATACAAACATTAAGCTTAATTAGACAGAATTTGTCAGTGAACATCTGCTTTGATGCAGTTTTCTGCTCTATGTATAAACTGCACTGTTTTTTTTTGAGACTCCATCATTATTTTAGGTTTCAGTTTGGAAACTGATTCAAGTTAATTTTCATTTTAAGTGGTTAAAACTCTGCTGTGAAGCTTTGTGTATTGCAACTACATAATAAAATAATTTATTTAATAATTTTATATTTGTAACTCTCCCACTATTTTAAAACAAAACTTCATCAGCTTAATGAGTTGAACAAAATATCTAATTATGGATAGATAAAAAGGCCAAAACAGAAAAGAGAAACAAAATGTAGGGTGTAATGTGTACAGTCTGCCACTAGAGGACGCCAAAAACAACGGTTTTTGTTTTTTACACTATTGATTTAGTGGATTTTTCCTTTGGTTTTAGTTTTCAGGTTTATGAAATTTGAATTATAAATTTTTAGAATAACAATAAATGTTTTATCAAACTTTTTGTTTTATGTTACAAAGCTGTTTTAGGTCTCAGTCATGTTTACATTTTATTCGAAATACATTTATAACAGAGAATGTACTTATTATTGATTCTTTAAGGACCAAATGAACAAAATAAAAGCAAATTGTTCATAAAAAACACAGATCGATTTGTTTTAGACGTGAAATGCATGATTACTTGATTATAATAAGTTTTTTTCTGACTGACCTGTCAAAATGCAGAAGGATGTTACGGTGTAATGACGTGAATTACCACAAGAGGGCGCACAAATACCGTTCGTTCCTCGGGGGTCGCACAATAACTGAGACAAAAAGCTTTTAAAAGTCTTGTTGTATTGTGTAAAATACGATACGTTCTGTTTTAAAGCTGCGGTGTTGAAGACAATGGAAATTTTAAATTAATACATTTTGATAATTATGTGTTTTCCTCCTATGTATTTCCCACTCCGCCCAGAAGGGGGCAGCAGTGAAGCTGTTAGCGTGTTGACAGCAAGGCTCTGTGAAGAAGGCAAAATAAAAGCAAAAATGTCCACCTGCATGTCTATAACTGGAGTCTATTAATATCTCTTATTTAAATCATAGAAAAAATAATTATAAATTAATCTTATACATTTGGACACGTGCTCTAAACGACGAGTTTTCAGTGTTAAAGAGATATTGATTGTAACAAAAATATAACCTACAAAATAAAAGAAAAAGCTGCATGTGTGTCTTAATATGATGCACTGACCCCATCTAAATGATTTTATGTTGATTTAATAAATTATAATTTTTACATTTTGCAGTTTTAAAGTATTCATTAACTTTACAATTTAAAACAGATTTTTAGAGTGGCTGTTTTATAAGTAGACAGTTTAAACAGAAATTTTACAATTCTTATAGTTTTTTCCTCCCTAAACTCACAAAAAAGCCTTTTAAAGTCCTGCAACTGGAAACTTGTAGGTACTCGGAAAAAAAAAGACATCAGATACTTTGAATGTAGTAAAAAACACACGTTCTTGTTTTATCGGAAATATTTAACCAAAACAATTGTCATTTATATAGATAAATAATTTGAGTTTTCTTAACATCTCCCTTTTTTAACCTGAATAGCTCTCTGATCTTATTTTATATGTTCTGCTGTTTTAATCTGTTTCATTCTTTGTGAGAACAGGAATACGGAGTTGCATGAAAACCAATTTAAAATGGCAAATACTTATTAAAATATCCAACTTTCAGAAAAACTCTTTTATTTGACAAGTTACTCCATGACTGTTCGAAAACTTAACGTGTTCCTCTGCTAACTAAAGCAGGCAGCAACCAAATCTGCCCAATATGCCACTCAAAGCTGAGCTTTTTATTGAGACCTTTAATAAAACTAAATTATGAAATTATTGCCTAAAAGCAAACATACGTCACAGCAAACACAAGCCAAGTTCTGCTGCAATTCAGAAGATTGCATCCGGTTTACATTGAGGTTTAAAATGTGTTTCTGCCCTTTTTAAAACATTTATTTTGGTGTTTCTGTCACAGTGATCTCCTGAAGCAAATCAGCAGGAAAGTAGCCCAGCTTTCGTCCTGTGCTGACCTTCAAGTAGCCGCCCTTCTCATCTCCTTTCTTCACCACAATCTGGAACAATAACAGCAGAGGATCACTTCATGCAGTTTGAAATGGAAAGCATTAGCATTGAGTTATGCATGAAACAGGCAGATTTCTTGGGTTGTAATACATTTTAAATTTTTGGACAAATTTTTTTATTTGAAGCGAAAGTTACCTGATCTTTTTTGAGTGTAATTTGTCCCATCTCTCTGTTGCCTACGAAGGAGCGGGTCACCTTGAAAACTCTCTCTGACGCTCGCACTTTGATGAGGTAGTTGGCGGGGAAGTATCCTGTTTTCTCCCCCATTTTCCCCTGTTGAAAACAGTTCGCAGCTTCAGCACTGAAACTCATGGAATTGACACTTTTAAAGCTTTTACAGTGAAAATGTTGCACTAACCCTCCACCACTCCTCATTGGAGTCATCGAGCACTATGATCCGATCACCAGGGCTAATGAACAAAGAAATTGAAACAAACTGAAGAACGATGTTTTATTTACGAAATTATAAAAAGGATTTTGATCCTTACTGGAAGTCGAGGTCGTCTTTCTCAATGGCCTTGAAGCGGTACAGAGCAGTAAAATAGTGAGACCCGGTAAATGCTCCTTTACTCTGTGGATAAAACAACAAAAATGCAGATTTTTGTGACAAATAAAAAGAATTTGGAACCGTTTGCATGAAGCTGCTGTCAAAGTGTGTTCTCACCTTGTCATCTGCTTTGTCTCCACCTTTCTCTTTTTTATCTTCAGGTTTCCCTGAATAACAGAGTCAAAAAGCCATCCTCTTTGACTACGAGTTTTTAAAATACGTTTTATAATATTTGGCATAATTAACCAACAGTATGCTACAGAGCACAACCAAATGCAAATTGTTTTACCTTCTCCTCCTTCCTCGTTCTCTTTGGGCTGTTGGTTCTCCTCCTCTTCCTCTTCCATCATCATCATCATCTAGAGATCACACACATAAAGCAACATTTGATCTGTTTGATCCAATTTAATGTTTGAAAAATTCCTTAATTTCAGTAGGTTTAACTTGTGAAGTGTTTTTTTAGTTAAAAAATACACCAAATGCTCACATTTTTCTTGTCATTTTCATTCTTTTTGCGCTCCTTGTTTGCCATGATGACACCAACTCTCAGCGTGTCAAAGACTGGATCGCTCCGGTTTGGGTTGTCTGTTCAGGGACAGATTTTAATACAATTACTAACAAATAATCACAATTACTGTAAAGCTTTGAAGGCGAAAGGTTGTTTGATGTGGAAAAAAGCTGCAACATGAATTTAAAAAATATTTATTTATTCTTTCTCTTAAGAGTCAATTCTGCAACACAACCGTCTCCTTTATAAAGGTCTTGGTGGACTCACTTGGGTCTGGTTGGTCGCTGCTGTAAAGAGGAGAACTGTACGCTCGTCTGAAACCAGGCGGCTACAAAAAAGAAGGTGCATTTCAAACAAAAACCTGACACATTCAAATCACATAAATCTGCAGATATTTGGGTTTAGATCCTGGATTTAAAAGGTTGAATTCAAAGATCGATGCAAGAAATTTGACTCACAATTTTTCCAAAGCACCTCTGAAACTCGACGTAGGACTGGCACGAATGGTGGATGTTGGTCTTGCAGTTTTTGCACCTCAGACAGAATTTGTTGTTCACTACAGTACGCACAAGGTAACATCAAAGAGGATTAACGAAGAAGTAATGAAATGTTATGACTCACTGTGGGGTCTGCGTCAGACCTACAGACGATCATGCGAGCGCAGACGTCACAGAACTTGGGTTTCTTGCAGTAGTGGTCCTTGAACTTGTGAGGTTTGTCATTGACCCGGATGACCGGCTCCGAAGGAGGTTCTGGTTCTTTCTCCTCCACCTCCACTTCCTCCTCGTATATGAAATAAACCTAAAAACACAAGGAGTTTGTTGAAGACGTGTGAAACTCCGCTGCCATGAGAAGAAAAATTCATGGCTCTTTTTTTTTAATGCCACTCCAGATTAAAGATCTGAACTAAACTCTCATTGACCTCCTATATTAAGTGGTTCATAATGACCGGCCCTTTTTAAGCTTTCAGCGCCGACACAGAGGTTTGGACTCAGCTGGTGGTTATTTTAAACAGCCTGAGAATGGCAGCAGGTGGCTGACATGGTGCTGTCACTCACCGTGTCTCCGTCCTCCTTCACCACGTTGTCAGGGGCTGGAGGATTGTCATGGATGTCCACAGAGTGTTTGTCGTCCTCTCTAAAACACACACAGAAGAGAAGAAGAAGAAGAAGATAACATGGAGCCAGTGTGATGAGGAATGTTGCATCAGGATAAAATCTTTATGTGAAGTTGTTAAACAGAAAATTGATTGAGAACTATGGATTCAGTCTTGACAAATACCACTGGAGTATTATAATAAATGTGGGATTTCCAAACTAAACTTTAAAAGGAAAGAACTTGAAAAAACAGCAATGTAGGATATTTACAAAAACCTTATTGAAGCTGGATTGGACAATAAACTGAAGTGCTTGATGCAACTTAGAAAGGACCGTAGAAGTCTACAGGGTCTATGATGGTAACAAAAGGTGAAAAACTGGGAGAAAAATTGATCCAAATTATCTCAAATTTGCATTCATTGGCTGTGGAGTAAAAAGTTTGTGGTGCTGTTCTCGTCAGTTTTAGAAATCACATCTTAAACGACATCTTCAACCAAATCAAAAAGAAAAAAATAAATAGGGGCTCTTCTTTAACGAAACAGTTCGTCTCTCCTCCAAGAGACCTACTTGTTTTTTTCTTTTTGGTTTTTCTACCTGGATTACTGAGATGTATCAGGACATCTTCAACCAAAGTTTGATTAGATTTGTTTATTTTAATATCCCCTATCAAATAAGTTCAATGAAAATCAAAGTCAACTGATGGGTTCATGTCAGTAAATATCCCATCTCCTTTATTAAACCCCAGGAGTTCACGTGTTAAGGTTAATAAATGTATTCAGTTAATTTAGCAATGAAAGCGTGAGTTTTCAAAGGGTTAACGTTTGGACAAACAAAAGGAAAAATGGTTTTAAAGTTGCAGTTGGGCTCTCCTCAGTTTGCTGTTTTAAACATTTCAGTACAAGCTTTCACAATGGTGATACTCAGAGTGACGTATTTTGTGATTAATACTCGTGAAAAACTTCACAGCACCACTGCTTTAGATGCTTTCGGTTTATATATGAAATAATTCTTTTGTGCACAAATTACTTAACAGGCATTAATTTGACATGTGACGGAGTGGTTGGGGGAGTCAATTGGGTAGGCCACCTCACCTTGATGGTGGTCAGAGGGTCCGGTGGTACCAGTGCTTGGCAGCCCCACCATTTTCAGTGTGACCCAGGGCGGCTGTGGCTACAATGTAGCTTAACACAATGAATGGGTGAATGTTTGTAGTGTAAAGAGCTTTGGGGTCCCCCTGGGGCTTAATAAAGCTATATAAGTTCAGTCCATTTGCAACATCTTGCTCAGATTAACAAATCATCAGCCTGGTGAGGTCAGATCTTTTGAATAACTCATTACATTGGGACGTCTGGTAACGAGCAAAAAGCATTTCCTCAAACAAACATGATGCTTTTATTGTCAGAAATGAATAATTCTGTATATCTGGAGTGTTCATATTTCAATAAATGACAGATTGTGAGCAAATTAAAGAGATAAACATGAAATCTACTCACTGATCCATGGTGAAGAAGTCACAATGTCAGGATGCTGAAACCTAAAAAAAATCATGTTTTACTGGTGGTGTGTTTTCTCTTTTTCCTCATTGATGAGTTTTTTAGTAGCTTGTTACTTACTTGTCAGATATAATATATTATGTTTCGTTCTTATATAAAGTCAAGATACACAGTGCAGTATACTAAAAACTATCAAATACTGAACTTTTTTAACATGTACACTTTGAAACAGGAATCTGTTTTAAACCAGTGCAGCTGATGTTATTCTAATCTGAATAAAATGAAAAACTTTTCCTACAAACTGAATGCTCTTCATCATGATCACACAACAGTTGTGTAGAGTTTTATTCTTTGAATGACAATGACATTAAATATGAGCGTCCCCCCCACACACACACACATGACAGGCAAACACACACTGTAGGAAAACATTTGCCAGTTCAATCTGCACTATTCTTGGTTTGTGACATTTGATCTCATCACAACTAAATTTGGAAGCTGCTGCCAATCAGAAAAAAAGAAACAATCCAAAACAAAAAAATACAGAAAAACTTAGATCTTATACAGAAACTTCAAAAACAATTCAGCAAACTAGCTAAACGTTCTCTGAATCATGACCGGTGAGCTAATAAAACTTTTCTTTTCCATCTTTTATTGCAAAAAAATGAAAGAAAAAAAGAAAAAATCTTGTTATATAAAATTATATTTTCTTGAAAAAACTCATTTTCAAACCTCAGCTTACCTTTTGATCAGGTTGTGTTGTCTAGTCGGTGTGAAGTCAAACCACCTGACCAAAATGTCTCCCGGCTCCGCAGGGCCTCAGGATCCAGTCTTTATGATCCCTCTATGTGGTCTTCAGATTATTTCCGCTCTGATCGTGACACAAACGTTTCAGTTCTTTGTGTATCTCCAGTTTTGTGTGTGAGACTGTGTGCATGACAGGTTGAGCTCTGCTATGTGAAGCTGACAGTTTGTGACAGCTGAGGACCTCAAACTGTGCACCAGTGACGACGAGAAATCAGATACCTTCTCTTCGCGTGTCTTCATCACATACACACACGAACACACACATCTTTCATCTTGTTTGCTCACAGGAAAGTGAAACACACAAAAACACACACTCAGGTTTTTTCCTTCCTAACTTTGCATAATTTGTTTGTTAAAACAATTTGATTTGTGTTTTACCTGCATCAAACTAACACAAACTATGAACACAGTTTTGGTGACATATTAATAATAATATAAGCTTGTCGTCATTGTTTATAACGCACTTCATTTGACTTGAAACCACACAGATCTTTTTTCTTTGAATTGGAGAACCTGACGTAAAAATAACAGCAGCGAACTGTTCCCACAACTATTTTTGAGTGATGAACTATCAGGACAAATAAACAAGAGTCCAACAATATTCACTGTTCTAATTTCATCCATTTGAAACAAATAATGCAAACAAAATTGTTGCTAGTAGTCATTTTTCAATGTTATTAATTCTGAAAATTCTTTCGAGACCCCATTGCGACGTTTCAGGACCCACACTGGGATCCCGACCCCAACTTTGGCAACCACTAAAGTGTGTTGAGAAACATTATAAAGTTATTGGTAGAACCTGGGAGAGGTTAAAAAGAAGAATAAATAAAAATTGTCTTTGATAAAAAAATTTAATTGAGGAACATTTCCATTAAAATTACCTTTTTTATAATAGATATAGTAATGTTTCATTAAAGAATATTTGTGAATTTGTAAACAGTTTATTAAACATGATCATTAACACGGTTAATACACTGAAAAAGACAGGATCAAATGTTATATTTGTATTTCAGCTTAACTAAACAACTTTATTAACACCAGAACAATTTTGTATGTACAAATGCTCACGGTGCTTGCATGCAGGTAACTATTGACACAATAGTTTAATATTTATTTGATGTGTGGGAAATTGAGCAAAAATGACAAAATTTTAACTATAAACTTTATTTAATTTCCCTCTGGGATCAATTAAGAATTTTTTAATTGAATTGAAACATTACAGAGCTCTGGCTTAATGTTTATTTATTTATTTATTTATTTATTTATTTATTTATTTATTTATTTGAAATATGAATACAAAACAAATCATCCATTAACAAATAGAAAAAAATAGAAAAAAACAAGTCATCCGATAAAAAAATAGAAAAAAACAAAAACAATGATGCATACAAAATCAAAAATGTCAAGGAAAACAAAACTAATATAAATAAAATAAATTCACAAATGAAAAGGAGCAGAAAGCAGTATAAACTTATAATGTCTGCCCCTATTCGCAAAGTAAAATCAACCAACTCAACAGTTCACCGGCAGCATACGGTGAAAGTAATTACAACAAAACATTACATTATGAAATATTATAACGCTTTGTCATAATAATTTAAAGTATTTTTTAATACAAAAGAAGATGTTGACTGTTTTATCTCACCATCAACACCCTTGATTCAACACAGCTCTGAATCTATGTTGTTCAAAATTCTCAACACCTTTTAAATTATATATGCTTTCCCTTTTGATAAATCTGGTTTGGATATTGTTAGGTGACATATTTTTATGGGCTTTGTACATGAATTTTAAGATACTGTACTCAATGAAATCAGTACCCTTCAGTATATTCTACTCTATAAACAGTGGGTTTTAAATGATATCTGAATCCAGCTCCAGTGATAACTCTAATGTGTAGACTACCTAACTGAAAACATAGCTCTCTTATGCCATTAAATATACAGTATAACACGTTTTTGAACCATTTAAGCAGAGTAATTTGTGTTTTTCTTTATTTCCATGTGTTAATGACGTGTTGTGCGCCCCCTTCAGTCTGTCTGGAGTACTACAACGGTCTCGTTGCATGTTGGGTACAAATCCCCCCCCCCCCCCCCAGTGCGCATGCTCAGAAGAAAACTCCATTATTTTTTTTGCTCGGAATTTGTAAGAAAAAAAAAAACAGACACACACACAGTGGGGTTAACTGTGAATTGAGGACTACATGGGTCGTTATGTTTTGTCGGAATACAGCCGAACATTACGCGGATTAGTGAAAGAGGGACCGAAGCGACGGCTGGATAAAGTGTGGAGCGGGAACGGGACATCCCTCTGTCTTTTGTGGGACACTCCAGAAACAAGTAAATTTCACTCAGTTAGCTCTTCCAGTTAGCCTAGCTGGGTGCGTTAGCCTCCGGAACCTCAGGCGCAGTAAAATGAAGCGTTATTGCCCCCCTTTGTTTTTTTTTTTTTTTTTTTTTTAAGTCCGACTGGAAGACGCTGCTCAAATGCTGTCTGGGAGCCGATTCGCCGCGCCAATTCGTGATTTGGATTATGTAATAATTTATTTCGTGGTTTACTAAAAGTGTTGCTCGCTTTCAAAACGTTATCTGAATAGTACTGTCTAGCTAACTTAATGCTGGTGCGAGCTAAAAGAAGAAGAAGAAGAAGAGAGAGAAGACTTCAAAACTTGGTCAACACAGACTTACTAGCAAGCTTGACGCAAGAGAGAATGTTGAGAAAACATTGACGTTAGCTAACAGACATATCTTATTATAAAGGCTATGAGGATAGAATAAAATAAGTTTTTTTTCCCCGCTAAGCAGCATTTGTGCAAAGCTCATTTCTTGCATTCGTAGCTAACGCATTTAGAGTTTGCATCGGGAGTGTTTTGCGCTTCTGACAGCTGTCACGACAACAGAGTACCAAGTGGATTTAGCCTGTTAGCTTAGCTGTTAGCTTCAGCGTTAGCTACACTGTTTTTAGTTTAGCGTTTGTTTACGGTAGCATGCTACACGTTTGTTTGGATTCTGTGGGGTTTAATTTAAGTCTCCTTTACGTTGCTTGTTATTTTATGAGATTTTGTAGGAAAGGCGATTGCTTACATTGGAGCGAATCATTCAGTAAACTACAGGCCTACCCAAACACACCCTCCTACTTCAAAGAAGCCACAGTTTGCTCTGAAGTTGAACTTTTTTTTTTGTTTTGAGGGAGTATAGTATCAGATCTGATCATTTAGCAAGGGTGGCTGGACAACATGTGTTTAAAAAGACAACATCATTTATTGCATCAGTCATATTCCGTGCTCCCCCCCACCCTCTCTTGTCAGATTACATAATCCACCTCCTCCACCACCTTTCTTTGCAGGCTCTTCATCTAAAACCACCATTCTGATGTGATCCGAACAAACAAATCTAGTGGATTCGTCCTGAAAGTTTTGGGAAATTCTAGGGAGCTTGGAGTCAGGTTTTACGGGAACTTTGCTTCTCACCCACCAGCATGAACATTGGACAACAGATACTGTAGCCGAAACGGATCTTGGCTTTCCAAAGATGACAAGGTATTTATCATGTTATTTTTCTGATTAATTATACACTTACTTGTCAGTGATGCAAACCGGTGCCTATATGCAGTCTTGAAATGCGTGTTTTCCTTTTCGCAAGTCTTGTTGCAGCTCTTTAGATTATAAATACTTATCAAACTACAGTCGCATGTTCATATCATATTAAAATATCACCTGGATATAAAAATGAGCTTGAGTTTCCTGAAACAAGTTGGCTAAGATGCCCTAACAAAATGAAATTGAAAATGTGATTCTGCCACAATGAAAATAAACTTATTTATAAATGTTTTCTGCACCCATAAGACAGGTTTTATTTTTCTCGTCAAACATTATTTTAGAGGTTCAGTGAAAAGATCTGTTGGGGTGCACACTGTAGAGGTTAAAATGTCCAATTTCATATTTTTATGATAGTCATCCATTTGTTCTCTTCCTGTATTATCTATTGTTAATTGATAAAAAAATAAAGATAATTCGTGTTAATGCTTTGCTGCTTTTCCAAGGTGCTGGCAACCTGCAGCTTCAAAATGATGGGAGGCAGTGAGACTGTCAGTGGAAACAAGGATGGGGTCCACACCACTGCAATCCATGTTCCCATTGGCTGGCATAGGAGAGTGGAAGGAGGGCAGGTGATCTATGTCAGGTATGTTGGTTCACCTAAACAAAAAACATGTCCAGACTTACTGCTGGGCTTTTTAAAAAATATTTATACAACACAAGACATTGATAAATATCTTTGTGAATGTGTAACATGCGAGGGAAATACAATTTCTGACATTCTTTACTAACTATTTCTATTTATACTTTTTTGTTTGACTTTGTAATTATTGCTACGATAACGAAAGTTTTGGGGCTGTATTATAAAACACATGTTAAAATGACTATTTCTAAGATATACAGTGGTTTGCAAAAGTATTCATACCCCTTGAACTTTTCCATATTTTGTCACATTACAACCACAAACATAAATATATTTCACTGGAATTTAATGTGAAAGACCAACACAAAGTGGTATACAATTGTGAAGTGGAAGCAAAATTTTACATGAATCAAAACATTTTTTACAAATAAAAAACTGAAAAGTGCGATGTGCAAAAGTATTCAGCCCCCCTGAGTCAATACTTTGTGGAGCCACCTTTTGCTGCAATTACAGCTGCAAGTCTTTTAGGGTATGTCTCCACCAGCTTTGCACATCTAGTGACTGCAATTCTTGCCCATTCCTCCTTGCAAAACAGCTCAAGCTCAGTCAGATTGGATGGAGAGCGTTTGTGAACAGCAGTTTTGAGATCTTGCCACAAATTCTCAATTGGGTTTAGGTCTGGACTTTGACTGGGCCATTCTAACACATGAATATTCTTTTTTTTAAACCACTCCATTGTAGCTTTGGCTTTATGTTTAGGGTCGTTGTCCTGCTGGAAGGTGAACCTCCGCCCCAGTCTCAAATCTTTTGCTGACTCCAACAGGTTTTCTTCCAAGATTGCCCTGTATTTGGCTCCATCCATCTTCCCATCAACTTTGACCAACTTCCCGGTCCCTGCTGAAGAGAAGCACCCCCAGAGCATGATGCTGCCGCCACCATATTTGACAGTGGGGATGGTGTTTTCAGAGTGATGTGAAGTGTTCTTTCTCCGCCACACATAACGTTTTGCATTGTGGCCAAAAAGTTCAATTTTGGTCTCGTCTGACCAAAGCACCTTCTTCCACATGTTTGCTGTGTCCTCAACATGGCTTCTGGCAAACTGCAAACGGGACTTCTTATGGTTTTCTTTTAACAATGGCTTTCTCCTTGCCACTCTTCCATAAAGACCACATTTGTGTAGTGCACGACTAATTGTTGTCCTGTGGACAGTTTCCCCCACCTGAGCTGTGGCTCTCTGCATTTCATCCAGAGTCACCATGGGCCTCTTGGCTGCCTCTCTGATCAGTGATCTCCTTGTTCGGCCTGTAAGTTTAGGTGGACGGCCTTGTCTTGGCAGGTTTACTGTGGTGCCATACTCTTTCCATTTCCGGATGATGGATTGAACAGTGCTCCGTGAGATGTTCGAAGCTTGGGAAATCTTTTTATAACCTAAGCCTGCTTTAAACTTCTCCAAAACCATATTCCTAACCTGTCTGGTGTGTTCTTTGGACTTCATGATGCTGTTTGCTCCCCAATATTCTCTTAACCAACATCTGAGGCCGTCACGGAGCAGCTGTATTTGTACTGAGATTAGATTACACACAGGTGGACCCTTTTGAGTCATTAGCAGTCATCAGGCAACTTCTGAATGCAATTGGTTGCACTCAGGGAAAAGGGGGCTGAATACTTTTGCACGTCGCACTTTTCAGTTTTTTATTTGTAAAAAATGTTTTGATTCATGTAAAATTTTGCTTCCACTTCACAATTGTATACCACTTTGTGTTGGTCTTTCACATTAAATTCCAGTGAAATATATTTATGTTTGTGGTTGTAATGTGACAAAATATGGAAAAGTTCAAGGGGTATGAATACTTTTGCAAACCACTGTACATTTTATATTTTAAATTCACATTCTAAATGTGTTTTTGTCCAAGTTCAGATTTAAGTCTTAGTGTTTCTAATAAGCAGCCAACACAACACATTTCAGTGTTTACTTGTGGACATGCAGGTGCCTCAGTGAGCCTCTTTCATTACAAGAGTTCTCTGCCCTCTCCCTGTAGTCCCAGTGGCACTGCCCTGTCCACATTGGATGAGGTCAAGACCTACCTATTGAATGATGGTACCTGCAAATGCGGTCTGGAGTGCCCGCTTATCATTCACAAGGTAATTATTTTGAAAATGTGTTTGTTAAATAATGTGTTTGCAATGTGGAAATATCTATCTATATATCAGATACACACGTGCTACAACAATGATCCTCAACTTTTTATCCTAAAAGCGGGGCTTGAACCTACAATAAAAGCTGCACCTTTCTTCTATTTATCTATACGCCACTGTGGAGTTTTTTAGACTTTTATTCTGGGAACGTAGAAATCTGACAACTTGTGATTTCTTGTATCGAAACGTGTCGTGTCAGTTAAACAGGACCAGACTGTTTCACCTGACATGTGCATTAGTAGCTCCTGTTTAACATTTAAACGCTTAACTCCAGTTTGTGCAGAACAATTCAGAAAGCTGTAACTGTTTCTGTGTCTTAATGTGAAGCTTGATTGTGTCTAGCGAATACCATTATCACCAGAGCACATTGCTACAAAGTGGTGCTGTTGTAGTTATGTGGTTTTATTGTGGAGCAATTTTGCAATTTGTTTGTGTGTTCTAGTCCAAAGCATTCAGCCCTTTTGATATTTATCTTATGTGTCTATCATGAACAGCATTAGCATGTTGACTGACAGTAATAATTATTTTTGTGAAACACGTTACCACTAAGCAGTATGCAGTCATGAAGCATCAAATCTAAGCATTTTGCCTCAATACATTTTTGTAATCGTTATTTGGGTTACTTGATAAATTGTTCTAGTCCTAAGCTATACTCTGTGTCAGGGCTATTCAACTGGCGGCCCGCGGGCCAATCTGACCAATTGGCGGACCAAAGTTTGGCCCGCCACTTGGTTCATTCATCTCTTAAGCCTAAACCCCTCGGTTCTCTAATTACTACAAGTTCTTTGAGTTAAGCATAGACATGTTCAACATGTAGCTACAGAAACATCAGAATCTTGGCTAGAAACTGGTAAAAACATTTCTTTGCACACTCAAGACAGTTAAAATTACAAGCAGTTGAAGATAAAACTATGAAAGTGAAAATAAAATTGAAAATGTAAAAATTAAAAATTTGGCAAGTCAGAGATGTGAAAATAATATTTGTGTTAAATACGAGGCATAATGTGTTCTTTTTGTTTTTATATTGTTTAATTATCACTACTTTTCTAGGGTTCTGTATGTTGTATTCATGATTAAATGCAGCAAAATAAAGTATTTCAAAGCTAACAGATCTTTGTAATACTTGGTTTATTTTCATAATGACTTTAATTGCTGGATGTTCGGCCCCTCACCTGTTGACCTGCAGTAACTGTGGCCCCCGGAGAAATTTAGCTGAATAGCCCTGCTGTATATTGATAAGTCATTAGATTAAAACTGCCCACCTCATATTGTTTTGGCCTTTCAAAAGGAGAAATAATTGAGCACCAGTTTGTAAAGTTTGAACTTCTTTAAAACTGACTCGCGTTTAGCCTGTGGTTGTGTAAATGAGAGTACAAAACACCTGCACCTTCTGCTCGAATGCAGTATTCTCTGATTCCTGTTTAATCCTCTTCACCTCGTCTCGCACAGGTTTTCAACTTCAATGTGGGCGTGAAGGTGGAACAGCCACTGGGTAAAGCAGAACAGGACATGACCAAACTGTGCAACCACCGCAGGAAAGTGGTGGCGATGGCTGCTCTGTGTCGAAGTATGCAGGCCTCACAGCTTCCATTTGCCAACTTCCATCATCCAGGTAAATTTAAAGCACAGAAAAGACATTAGGCAGGGCTTGTTTAACCATCAGATATCAAATGTCTCCAAGTTTCTTTTACCTTTGCATTACGGCAACATTTGTCTGCACAGCAAGTGCGTGTAACAGGGTTCCCACAGGTCCTCGAAATACTTGAAAGTTTGTGAATGTGAAAAAAAGATTTCAAGGCCCTGGAAAGTTTGTGAAAACAGCCAAAAATTACACTTGTCCTTGAAAGTCCTTGAATGTTTTTTGGGGATTGAAGTTCTCTATTCACACGACTGATTTTCATCATCTGCAAAAAATAAAAAATAAAATAAAAAACTTACATTTGTTGCGGTGGATAACTCAGGATTACGGTAAACTGACATGGCTTTCAACAAATAACATCAGCCATAATCATAATTTTAGGCAATCAGAGCAGAGCAGGGCGGTTCGTTCTTTCTGAGCCCAGGTGAAACACCACAGCTCCTCCTGTCCTCACCAAGCGTCTGGACATGTTCACATCCCCTCCTCCCAAACTGAGCTGCCCAACCTCCCAGGACATAATTACATGTCCATTTATTGTGGATATGAATGTAGGGTAAACATTGAATCCACTTTCTTCTATGTTGTTCAGTTTTTCATTGAATTTACATGATATTAAACCTGTTTATTGGTAACATTCTGCTGTAGCAGTAGGTATTTGCCGTCGCGCGTGGTTCTTGAATTTGAGGAAACTTGTACTGGAAAGTCTTTGAAAGGTCCTTGAATTTGATGTTGACCAAGGTGTGGGAACCCTGGTGTAATCCGTAAAGTGCTCATATATGTCTGTTTTCACAGATGTGAGTCGAGGGGACAGTAGAGATCCACAGAAGGAACCTGCAGAGCGCAAAGAAAAAGACCGTGGGATTTATTACCCTAAACTCCATTTAGTCTCAACTCAAGTGCACAACAACCTCCACCCAAATCCCTCTGCCAGCCCTAAATCCCCCCACCACTTCATTTACCCCTACAATGGTTCCTCTCCTGTAACCCATGCAAGCATAAATTCTAACCATTCCCTAGATACTTTAAGAAGACTTCACCATTATCCTCTTTCAGTATCTTCTGCTTCCCCAAGCTCTTCGTTTTCTGTTCCCAATACTGCCCAGAGGTCAAATCACACCCACAGCTCTCCCATCATCAGTCAAGGTCAAAAAACGCCCCAAACCCCAGAGACTCCTAGCTCTCCTCGGCTAACACCCCTGTCATCGCCACCCCCTTCTTCCCCCATCACCCTTAGTGGAGGAAAAAGAGGAGCACAAACTCATACCCATCCTCCCCTTTCTCCGTCTCCCTCCTTCTCCCCCTCTGTCCATACCATGTGTGTGTCCTCTCACCAGCGAACCCGTCATCTGTCAGCCTCTCCTTCCTCTCTGTCTGAGCAGGGAGGAAGCTCAACAGTCGCGGAAGGAGGGGGACTGATGGGAAGTAACGTGTCTAAAAGGAGGAAGTCTGCTTCTTCCTCTCCACACTCCCCAGTTTCCAGCAGCTCCCCTAACCCCGGCCCCCACTTCCCCAAGTACAAGCTGGAGGACATCTTAGAACAGTTCAAGAACTCAGGCAGCAGCAGCACTAATAATCACCACCTCCCAAACTCTGCTAATCTCTCCTTACTGACCAACCAAAGCAGTAGTCACCCTCACGCTGTCTCCTCAAAGTCCTCTAAGAGCACCATGAGTCCCACTGCCAGTGCAGGCCCACCAGGTTTTGGGTTGAACTCTACAGGGCCTTCTAGTTTAACTCTGGGGCCATTGATGACCCATCACTATGGCCATCAGGGAAAGCTCCCACACCCCGTCTCTTTCCCTGCTAGTAGCTTGCTTTCTGCAGCTGCCAAAGCTCAGCTGGCTAACCAGATAACCCAGGGCCATTGCTCTAACGTGGCCATCAACCCAGTAACTTTACCTTCCTCTCTGGACATCTTAAAAGAGGCACAGCAGCAACAAAAGGTAACAAACAGCACTTTACACAACAACATCTCTCCCTCCTCCGTTGCTTCTGCTAGGCTTCCCCATCCTTCCCTTGCAGCAGCTTCTGCTGTTCTCTTTTCCCCTTCACACACTTTGGCCCAGTCCCTGGCGACCTCCTCGCCCCACCTGCCTCCCACAACTGAACACAGCGCGTCACACAGGAAGAGACAGCGACGGTCTCCCACTGTCCTCAGCATGCTAAGAGACACCCAGCCGCTGGCTAATGGACTGAGGAAGACTCCGCCAGAGGAAGCCGTTCCTGCTGCAGCGATCAACCTTTCCTTCACTTCCTGTTCCCTCCCCTCTCCCTCCTCACACTCCTACTCTACCTCAGCCGTTCAGAACCAGAGTGCTGTCACCTTGAATAATCATCATCAGAACCTCTCTGGGCAGACGCCTCGACTCTCTGCTCCTCGACCAACGGCGCACCTTTCCAGACCTCCTCGACCGAACGAGGCTCTGGATTTTACTACGCCCTCGTCTCTCAGCTCGGATCCTCCAACTCAGCCTCTGTCGGCTCTGTTACATCTGCTCAGTGTGCAGACTGCACAAGCTACTGCGTCCAACTCTAAAACCGCATTTGTCGAAGGAGGTGGACACACTAGTAAACAGAGCCCCACAGAGTTACCATCTTCTCCAGCCACTGGTTTTCCTGTCAGTCACCCCGAGACTCAGTCCCCATGCCGAACAGATAACACTAATCCTCTGTCTCTGGTGCAAAAGCCACTTTCTTCCCCTCCCACCTCCACTCATTTCACATTGCCATCTCACTTTCCTCCACAGTCTACAAAACCATGTCCTCTACTAAGGAGCCCTCCATGTGCACTGCTGCCAAAGTCAAATATAGTTTTTGGCAACAACAGCAGCCCATCTCAGCAAAGAACCCAATCTCCCATTGCTAAAGATCAACCAGGTCATAACGGTGTTCCCATAACAGACTCTGTTTCCCAAACGTCTTCACAAGAAGCCTCACAACATGAATCCGAGGCGCTGGAGAGTGGCAGTAACGGCACATCATCATCTGTGGACCTGAGTCATTCTCAGGGCAGCATCTTAATGGGGATACCCTCTTCCCCGAAGCCTCTTGATCTTAGTAACAATGTTTTGACCCTTCTCGAAGCTTCCTCCACTGTGACAAAGGGGGAGGGTGTTTCATCCCACCAAGCTGCTAACGTTGAACTGTCTTCTCCAGAAAGTTATATTGCAGGTAATTTTCTTTTCTTCAGTGTAATCATACAAACTAAACTTTGAAATAATTTTAAAGTAACCTGATACATGGCAAGATGTCAATTGTACACTGATTGTAGCAGTATTCTTGGCAGTGTTGTATAAAGTACCACAAAGTGATACTTAAGTAAAAGTACAAGTATCTCACCAAAAAATTACTTTGGTAAAAATTAAAGTCTCCTTTAGGAATATTACTTGAGTAAAAGTCAAAGTTTCTGATATTTTTGTACTTAAGTATTAAAAATAAAAATATTGATTTAAAATGAGCAGTTAGATTTTCAATAATGTCATCTATTAGGAGGTGACCTCCCTCCAAAAAATGCAGAAATGACTTTATCGTATGAAAATCATTAATTTGTGTTAAATTTAGGATGCACTAGTCTAGCTGTTTCAGTTTATACATATATTAAGGGTGACCCAACCTTTCCCCCAAAATGAAAATGTATCTGAGGGCTGTGGCCAAATGCAAAAATATAATTCATGAAATACAAATACTTCTTAAGTACAGTCCTTTTATTTTAATGATTATGTCCTGCTGGAGTATGACATGATTTGTTTGTATACAACCTAATATGGTATCAGAACTTTATATATTTATACTTCTCATTCAACCACAATAAAATTCGCTCAATCTAGGAGGCACAACTTGTATGGATAGTATTTATTTTTTACAAGCTGGAATGAAAACAAGCAAAAATTAAATAAAAGTAACGACTTTCTACTTCTTGTCTTTTTTTAAAATGTAAGGAGTAGAAAGTACAGATAATTGTGTGGAAATGTAAGAAGTAGAAGTAAAAAGTAGGCTGAAAAATAATTACTCAAATACAGATACCCAAAAATTCTATTTAAGTACTGTAACAAAGTAATTTTTACTTAGTTACTTTACAACTCTGGTTTTTGGACAGAGAGCCTGTTTTTTGTGAATGTATTCTTAGTAGTTTAGTAAATTATCTTTTGAATTACATTGTTATAACATTTAATTTCAGTTATGTTTCAAAAATAGAAATGAATGAGTAATTAAAATGTATCATCCACTTTGAGACCTCTCTAAAATATGTGTTGTAAATAATAAGTCAGAGCAAAAGCTCACAATGTGTTTTTCCCACAGCACCAGAGGAATCTGAACATTTGGACCCAACGACTTCAACACTGACGAGCCCTCCAGCACCCACAAGTCCTGCGTTCAGCCTCCCCACACATCACGAGGAGAATCACAGTCCTCCCAACTCCTCAACTGTGAGCGAGTCAGCTGCTCCCTTACCTCTGGCAGAGGCCTTCCCCTTCATGAACCAGGAGCAGCTGCTTCAGCTGCTGTCGTCTACAGGAGGTCTACCATCTCTCCTGGACCCCGCCGTGCTGGCGTCGTTACCTTTAGGGGGGCTGTGGATGGGAGGACAACAAGCACCGACACCACAACCACCACAGACACTTGCAGAGCACGAGCAATTGGAGCAGTCACATTTATTGATACAAGACCCACATCAGCAGAACCAAGATCCACACCAGAAGCAACATCAGCTCAACAACAACACCCTGTTTCCCTTGCTGCCCTTTTTGAGTGGTGCACAGGGGGAGGTACCACTGAACCTCTTGGGTCTGCTAAACCCACTCCCAACATCAGCCCCCTCTGCTGGACAGGAACCTGATTTATCAGAAAAATCGAGTCTTCAAGCTTTGCTAATGGCCTCGATGTTAGTTGGGCAACAGCATGCCTCTTTGTTACCTCTGTCAGCTCTGGGTCAGTTGAACCAGTTCAGTTTTGAAGTTCCCATCCAGCAGTCCCAGCAGATCCCTGCCACGCTGGAGGGCCTCGCTCTGGATAAGAACTCTGGCCTCTTGGATCCATCCACCCTCACCGGCTCAGGGCTCCTGGACATCCCCCCAGGGTTGCTTCCTCTTACTGCTGGAGCAGAGAACCCCATTCAAGCCCTGCAGTCTCTGCTCCTTTCTGCTGCTCTTCCTCCTCCTGCAGCCTTCCTGCCCCTCAGCCCCACCTTGCTCACAGCTGCCCTAGGCTCTGCCGAGCTCCACTCTCCTCCCAACACCCAGTTAGCTCCTGCACATCAAACCCAACATAGCCAAGCTCAGGTAGGCTCCCTGTCTCCCCTGTGTCTGTTTTTTCCTTTTAGAAAATCTTATTTTTAGTTCCTTTACCTGCTCCAATAATTTCCCTGCATTAGTTGCTTAACTTCTTTGAACAAACACTTTTAGGCTATTTTTGCTCACTTTGTGGGAATCCTTCACATGTGAATGAAAACACTTTACATTTTAACAGTACTGTGTTGGTAAAATAAGCTATTTATCATATTAATTATCTTTGTGAACATGTTTAAATGAAAACTTCTTAGGTTTTAATTGAACAAGACTTTTCTTTACATGTGAAGCTTGAAGGTTGGTTCACAGCACAAACTTTAAGCCTTCGTGTGAAACAGTGATCAATATTTCACTTTGAGCACAGGGTGTAGTTTCCTGTGTGCACACTGTGACTTATGAAGTATCATGTTTGACTTAGATTTTTTCTTGATTGACTGATTCTTTTTCCAAAACCCCAAAAACTTCCTTTTGTTCCCTCCATGCTCTTTCCTTCAGGTACCTGCTGATGCTGGTGTTGACACCCTCATCCCCGTTTCTCTCCAAGGCAAGGACAACCCCATCCTCCAACACCTACTGCCCACTTTGCTTAACACGTCTATATTAGGTGAGTTAAAATGCTTTTTTCATACAATAAAAGGCTAGATGTAGAAAAATAAAAGGTCTATTGATGCATTTTGAGGATTCTGTTGATTAATCAGAGAATTTGTGACATTTGTTTTTGTAGGAGACATTCCTGGCATCACCGGCCTCCATAACTTAGGGATTGGAGCAGGTTCTATTCTCTTATCCCCGGTCCAGGCGTCTGCTTTGGGAATGCTGCAAGGCCCTGATGGAGGCATCAGCTTGCTCAACAACATACAGGTAGGTCATTTATATGTACATCAATATGTTAGCAAAATATGTTTGTAGAAGTTTATAAGAATATATTTACAACAGATTTTACCACTTTCGTCAAGGAAGTCAGGTTCTTCTGAGATAAACTGTAGCATATATGAATAATTATATAACTTTCCGTGCTTTGCAATGATTTAGCTTTGGGAACTTTATAGTGTATTTTTTCACTGTGACCAAAAGTGACAAGTACAACAAAACAATTGCTTTCAATAAACCTTATTAAAAACACTTCTTTTCATTCCTTTTTTTATATAATTTTTTTATTTTTGAAATATTGAGAACATTACATCAAACAAATATTTACATCTCCTTTTGTTCACAGATCCTGTCTGTGAACAAAAGCTTGTTTCTCCATTCTCTATATTTGCTTTTTTTATGAACTTATATAAACAAACACAGAACGTGGGGTACATTACTGAAATAAAAAAGAAATAACAATAATAGTAAAATGAGAAAAATGAGAAAGTAAACATTTATTCAGAAGACCTAGAGTCAGTCTGTTTGTAAATACCATCTATAGGCTGAGTCATTCATTTGCAGCCAATGTTTCATTGATCTTCAKTTTAGCATTCCAGCTTGTTGTGTTTGATTTACATAAATAACCCATTTGGACCAAAGAATTGCAAACTTGTTCATCTGTAAACGGAGTGAGAATGTTAACGTTTGTCATCTGATAAATTTCATTAACATATTCTATCCATTTTTCCAATGTAGGGGTGTCAGGAAGCATCCAACGTCTTGTGATAGTTTTTTTACATGCAGTAATTAAGATTCTTTACAAGTATTATATGTTGTGAGATAGAAGTTTGGTCTTATTCAGACTAAAAGTGGCAAATTCAAATGGTATTTGTATGTTAAGAATATGTTCAACATTTTTGTGTATCTCTATCCAAATTTTTTTTTTTTTATTGGGCAATCCCAGAATATATGCCAATGATTGGCCTCTTGAATTTCGCACTGCCTCCAGCACTTAGATTCCTCTCCTATACCATGGATTCTCTGTTTTGGAGTAATAAAGAATCTAATCAGACATTTCCAACTGAATTCTTTCCATGAATACGAGTTTGTACATTTCCACTGTGATAAGCAGGAGTCTTGTTTTCATTCTTAACACTATTTATAGATTTATAAATTTTAATGGTGTTTTAGTTATTTATTTGTCTTTTTTTGTTGTTCCCTCTAGCTGAACCTTGCACCAAATTCAGATGGAGAGAAACCAGGATCTTTGCAGGAAAACCAAAGCGCTGCGCCGCAGGAAGATATACCTGCCAGTCAAATTCCTTCTGAAGTACTCTCAAGTCCTGTTCCAGCTCTAGTTTCATCTCCTGCCCAGCACTCCACCCCACCCCCAAACAGAGGGTCTGAGGGCAGGTCTGTCATCGATCCTTACACGTCTTTCATGGACACCATTTATACCTCTTTCCTTCAAGTCAGCGCTAAAGAGCAGGAAGATGGGGCCCAACTGAGGCCGTCTGACCCTACTTCACCCTTCTGTGCCTTACCGCCGGTTTCTTTCCCTCTGGACCACCATAACTCGTCCACCACCGTGCCCACCCTTCCCAAGGCAGGTGCCCCGGTCTCCCTGAGCCCACGGCGAGCCTGTTCGCTCCGCAACCCCGACTTGTCACGACTCAGCCTGGAAGCAGCAGCTCATTCTCCAGCCCAGGGGACACCCAAACCCACAGAGGATGGGCCTATTTCCCCCTTACAAAGGAAACCGGTTATAGAGGGACATACTCATCTAGAGCCTCCTTTGACACCCATATACTTGGAAGAGGCCAAGACAGACTGTACTGGTCCTGCTGCGGCTGTTTGTCCTTTTCTGGACACTGGTGTGAATAGGCAGGGACAACGTCCTCATACAGGATACCTCAGTCCTAGGGATGGATGCAGTGGAAGGCCAAATAAAGACAAAAGTGAGATGATGCTGAACACCGAGCAGGAAATGGTGAGTTATTAAGTGTTTTTAGAAACTTATATTTTATAGGGAAATCTGAATCTGCTGCTGAAACTTCAGAATAAAGTTTGATTTGGATCTCAGAATGTGACAAAAGAAAATAGAGCACTTCACTCAGCTTAAATGACTAAAGTTTACACTTTGACAAATATCAGTAAAACGTTCATGTTGTAATTACTGGTTCTACTTTGCAAGGATCAAGCTGGAGAAGCAGGTGGAGCCAGAAGAGGAAGGAAAAGGAAACAAACGTAAGTTATTTTATCAAAAGACCCTCTTTATATTGTATTGCTTTGATAAAACAATATTCAGTAAAAATCTGTAGCCTCATAAAGATTTATTTTTCTCTGATGTCTCAAAACAGCTGACATGAGATCAGTTTCTTCTAAACTGAACAGATTACTGATGTGTTTCTTTCTTCATTAGGCTACAGAATGTGTTAGAAGACTTTAGAGACATGGATGCTACAACACTAGATGAAACCAAGGCTACAGTAAGACCCAGATCCTCCTCTTTGTAACATACAGATATGTTTGTTTTTATTAAAGTTATAATAATTTGTTTTTATGTAAGATTTCCTTCTAGCTCACTAGTCTTCTTTTAAAAACTACCCTATTTTTCAGACTATAAGCCGCACCGGACTATAAGCCGCACCCGCCATTTTTAAAAAATAACCCACGAACATTAACATATAAGCCGCACCGGACTATAAGCCACACCCCCAACATAAAAAAAGTTGTAGTGGTAGTTTTCTTTAACAGTTTCTGATCCAACAAAACGTCTCATTCATCGTCCTCCAGCGCACTGAAACCATCGAAGTCCTCTTCAGTGTCGGAGTTAAACAAGCTGAGAAAAGCTGCGTCACACAGCGGTATCTGTTGTCCTCCTGGGGTAATGCTGGCTCTGAAGCTGTGGTGTCCTCTTCACGTAGCAGTCCAGCCTTTCAGAACCCATTGGTGATGGTGGACTCGTTCACTCTGCTCCACACTGTTAGGATCCACTGGGAGACATCAGGAAATGACGCTCTTCGCATTCAGCCAGTTTTTGTGAGTGATTTATCCCCGTCAGTCATCCAAGCCTCCCATTCAGCCCTGAGTGTGGCTTTAAATGCACGATTCACACTGATGTCCAGGGGTTGCAAAAACTTTGTTGTACCTCCAGGAATAACAGCAGGAATTGAGTTTGTTTTCTTGATGKCTGCTTTCACCGAATCCGTGATGTGGGCCCGCATACTGTCCAACATCATGTCTGTCGAAGATCCGTCGTGTCGCGTCTGCTACTAGCTAAAACAAAATGGCGCTACACCTCCAGCTAAGCTGGCAGTATGGTCGCTTAGCTGCCGACTGGTCGACGTGCCGTCACGTGGTTGTTCAGCGTTTGTTTTCGCACTGACCTTTCATAGTTCCCCCGAGAAACCCAGAGCCCAGCTGCTGGGAAAGCCCTCCCGCTCCAGCATACGTCACTGCATGGGATTCCTTCCCCGGGGAGTGCAATGCCGAAGATAAAAGCAGCTCTTCACTCGACGTTTATCCACAAACTGGTCCTGGATTAAGCTCCAAAGTTTTTATCAGCCAGATTCCACCGTGAAAAATGTCTGTTTTATCCCCTTTTATGAGTTTTTGGCCAATGACTATCTTTAAATTGCTGCTTCCTGGTCAACAGTCGGCTCTGGAAGCGATCGCTTTTTTCTTTTATTTCTTCTTTTTTTTTTTTTGAAGGGAGTAGTTGAAGTAAATGGAGCATAAGAGCCCCCTGGTGGCTGAAGAAAAAAACCCACGTATAAGCCGCACCGGACTATAAACTGCATGGTTCAAAGTTCAGGAAAAAAGTCGCGGCTTATAGTCCGAAAAATACGGTACTTGTTTTTCTCTAGGTATTGAAATTTCTTACTTTGCACTCTGAGAGTTCATTGTTTTATGTTAGCAGCTGATCTTTCTGCAGATTACACTCTTGTTTTGTTAATTAGTTGTTACTGTATGTAACACATGCTTTCAAACTGTATGTACCCCTCAGCAAATTAAAGATAAACACAATATTACTGGCAGCAGAACGAGGTTAAAACACGTTGTTTTAGCAGATTTACCTGTGTTTAAAAATACATAAATGTTAATGAAAGTATAACTAGAGATATAGAAAAAGTCTGGTGGTATTTTTTAAAGCTGCAGTAGGTAAGCTTTGTAAAAATGTATTCTTTTACATATTTGTTAAAACTGTCACTATGTCCTGACAGAAGAATATGAGACATATAATCTGTGACAAAAATAGCTGTTGGAGGCGGGGCTGCAGAGAACAGGGGGTTTGTTCAAATTTTCAGACTTAGTACACTGTTTTTTCAAAACTCCCAACTTAATAAATTTAATCGATTATCTTCAATTTTTTTATTACCTGGTGTGCCAATTAAAATTTTTATTATTTATTGAAATCTAGATGGTTCTGCTAATCCGCTAAAAGCAGAACTAATTTTGCATTTAGTGGATTAGCTTTTTCACTAGCTTTTCAAACCTTTAATTTTGCTAAATTAGGTTAGGTCAACTTGAAGTCTGCTTGCAGCAAACTAACATCAGTAGGTTTGTGTTAGTCCCACCAGTCTTAAAGGGGACCTAATATGCAAAATTCAATTTTTTTCATGTTTTTTAACTTAGATTTGGGTCTTTACTGCTTTTAAAAACAGTCCAAGCACAAAAAAAATGCACTCAGAGATATTTTTACTATAAGTAAATGTATTTTTCTGTATCTTGAAATGACCTGTTTTCAAACGCCGCTGTTTGTGACATCACAAACGGTACTCCAGCCCGTCTCCTGGTAATCCAAGCAGAGACTCTTCTTCTTCTTCTTCTTCTTCTTCTTCTTCTTCTTCTTCTTCTTCTTCTTCTTCTTCTTCTTCTTCTTCTTCTTCTTCTTCTTCTTCTTC